TTAATGTAGACTTGACGTGGCACGGTGAATTGTCTTTTTTACCGACATGGCTGAAGGATGTGGATTTGGGTTATTTTAAAATTAAATTATTTGAATTTTTATTTTTTTTCTCTTCCCGCATATGTTTCTCTCTCTTCTCTCTCACTCACCATCTCTCTTCTTTGTCATTCACCAGAAATCAAAATCCTCTTCCCCTCATATTTCTCTCTCTTCTCTCTCATGCACCAGAAACTGAAAAAAGAAAATAATTATTTCATCTCTAAAAAGAATTACAATAAAAAAATATGATAAAACTAGAAAGATTCTATTAAATTTCGATCTCCATTTTTTCTTTCCAAAAATTTATCTTCACCATCACCGTTCCAACTCCCCTCCAACATCAAACACAACCAATCTTCATCTTCATCATCACAACTTCATATTCCATTTTCCATTTCTCCTCAATTATTCTCCATGGACATCAATCATCGTTGTCTTTTTCATCATGATTTTTCAGAAACACAAACAGATACTCCCTTATAGTTCTAATCTTCTTCTCTTCCCATTCATTAATTCCAACCCAATATTAATGGTTTTACTATAATTGATCATATTTATTGTTCATATTTTCCTTCCTCACCGTTAATAGCCCCTTCATCACCCAAACATTTCTTTTTAATGCTAGAAAACTCATCCCATTCACAGCAACCGAACCGCACCCCTCCTCACTTCTCAAACCCCCAACATCTTCCCCAACCTCCTTCGCTTACTCTGAACCTCGAACCATGCTCCCACTTTCTTGCATAGGAGATAAACTCAGTGCCATGCTGTTGCTTTCATCCGTGCCCATTTGAAAAAGATCAAATTTTTCTTGACAAAAATCAACCTATTCTGAAAAAAAGAACACCAAAAAACATGTTAATATGATCAGAGAGTAGAATCACACAGAGGGCAAACATAAGAGTGCAAATGGCCAGTGGCCACCTCCAATCACCATCGAAATGGCGGTGGTGCTGTAGAGGGGAAAAATGTCGGTGACATGGAGGAGGACTAGCGTGGTCGCGGCTGAAGCCTTGTGTGGCACAGTGTTGTCTTCGGTGAAGGCTACGCGTGGATCCCGATTTGGGGATTAGTAGAAGAAAAATGGAATGGTGTCGCCAGCAACGAGCTCAACGCAATAATGGACGCAGCCGATGGAAGCTGGTGCGGTTGCTGGAGGCGATTCAACCGGTAGTGCTTCAGGTGAAGGGTATGGCTGCTTATTGGGAGAAGGAGAAAGGGAGCACGCGTGCTTGATGAGGAAGAAGAAGGCAACATGAGAAGACAATGTCGTCAGAGGCTTATCTGGCCGCGAGCTGGTGACAAATCAAGGGAAAACTATGAGCAATTTGTTTAGTTGTAGACACCAGTTTCAATCTATTTCGTTTTCAAACCCTAATTGCAAGTCCTGTTTATGGTTGTTCTTGAGGTAAATTTGAAATCAAAAATTACTTTAACACTAATCAAATAAACTTTTTATTAAAACTTATTTCAGAAGAAAATATAAAGTCAAATAATTTAAAATAATTTAAACTTTTAAATAATTTTAAATCCACATCATTCAGTCACCTCACTTAAAAAGACAGTTCATTGTGCCACGTCACGTATACATTAACGTTGTTAGGTCTAATGTAACGGTAAGTGTCTAATTGATGCAATTTTCACAAAAATAAGGATTCAAGTGAGACGTCGAAAAAGAAGAAGACCTATTTGAGATTCTGGATGAAAATAAGGACCTACCGAAACATTAAACCTTAAATATTTGTCTTCATAAGAAATTTTCAAATTTTGTAGGTGTATGCTATATAAATAGAAACTAACTTTGATGTTGATGACCTATTTTATGTATTTTTATTTCAACTATTTCCTTTTTTTATTTAGGTGATAAATATTTTATTAAGCAACATAGATATCGTGCATTTTGTCTCTTTTAATTTCGAATAATTTTTTACCTTTCACTTTTGGTTTTAATAATTTTAGTTCACATCTTGGTTTTCTATTACTGTGGTTAGAAAAACATAGTTTGCTAGTATTATAAAAGTGAAGTTTCGTATTGATTTATTTACTTCAATTTTAACTTTAAGTCTTTCATTTAAGTCTTTCATTTCAATTTTAGAGTTTTATTTACTTCAATAACTTAAAAAAAGTCAAATTTCAAATGAATAACTTTATTTTTTTTTTGACACATTTCTCTTGAAATATATGATTGTTCATTTAATTTTGTAACTGTTTATACAAAATTTTTAAATGTTGAGTTCATAAATGGATTATTTAGTTATTAAAATCTAGGACTAGATTCAAAAATAAACTCATTTAAAGTTTTATACAACAATTATAAATAAAACATTTTTTTATTTTAATTATAAAAAAAGTATGCAATACTTATATTTTTATTTCTGATTTTGATTTTTTATTTATTCAATAAAATACGTCAACTAATGAATGAAAAATTTAAACAGAAAATTTTCTAATTTTATCTTGAAAAAGAATTTTCTATGTTTTATTTTTTAATTGAATTTTAATATAATTATTTTTAACTATAAAACATAAAAAAATTATTATTTATTTAAATACCCTCGTTAACATAAAAAACGTTTTCCACATCACCTGTTTGACATTATGCAAGCAAAATGTCAACTTTAAAAATGATCGGTGAAAACTTTTTAATTTTTTTGAGTGAAATTGACGATAATTCTGAAAGGTCTCAAGATTCTTATGATGGACTTGTTAGTAAATGCCCCCAACATTCTAGTGAAGCTACATTTGTTATGTAATCTGGCCATTTTCTTTAATACAAAACTAATGACGTTAAGTCAATGCCACGTGTCACTATGTGGTTTTATTTTATTTTTTCAAAATTTTTAATTTTTATTTTAAAAATAATTTGTCACATGTCAAATGAAGATCCTACTATGTGGCATACAGTGTGATGTGGAAATGGTAATGACACGTGTTATGTGAAAAATCTCAATTTTGTTTTTTTATTTGTATTTTATCTCATTTTAATCCTAATGTTTTTTTTTTTAAATTGGACCAATTTCATCTTTGTCCAAATTAAAACCAAATTTAACTTTAATATATATGTATAATGATATCTTCATTAAGATTTATATTTTTATTAAATAATTTTTACAATATTAAATTTATATTATACATTGAACTTTATTTAAAATATGTTTCAAATATTTATATATCAATAATTTCTATACAAATATTAGAGTTGGTTTAAAAATAATAATATTATAAACTTAAATATAAAATTTCGAAATATTTTTATAACAATTTAAAATAAATGTATTTAAGATTTAAAAACAAAATTTAAATAAAATTCAATGTAAAATATTAATTTAAATAAACTTAATCTTATTAAAAATAATAAAAGTATAAATTTTATTAAAAATATAACTATAATAATTATAACATTTATTAGAGGTATGATCAACCAATCTTTTTAAATAAAGTTCAATGTAAATTAGATTAATTTTATTTAAATTAAGTTTATTTAATTTAATATGTTACAATGAATTTTATTTAAATTTTATTTTCAAAATTTAAATATATTTATTTTAAATAGTTATATGATTATAGATAGATCTATATAAAAGTTAAATTTGGTTTTAATTTGAAAAGGATGAAACTGCATCATTTAAAAAAACATTAGAACTAAAATGAGATTAAATAGAAATAAAAAGATTAATTGAGATTTTTCACATGACACCTGTCATATTTACTATTATGTCACACTGTCTGCCTCTACCATATGAGAGGATCCTCATTTGACACATGACAAAGTTTTTAAATAAATAAATAAATTAAAAGGAAATTAAAAAAAAAAACACATCTTAACACGTGACATTGAATTAACATTAAGTTATTAATCGAAAGAGTCCAATTATATTCCATTTTAAAAAATAGAACCCAATTGGAATAACTTAAAACTTAATGCTCGAATTGAAATTCTGTACAAATTCGAGGGTTTTAAGTTATAAAATTTTAGTTTTGTGAAAAATGATAAATTAATTAATCATCAAATAAAAGTAAATTGTAAATTTTATGTGAATTGTGTTTTTTTTATTTTAAAATATTTATATTTAGTATGTTTGATTTTGAAGTCATCCTTTGTGGATGAATGGATGATGATTATAATGATCTCATAAATAAATTACTCAGGGAGTGGAAATAACTGGAGATGAAGAGAATAAAGAGTATAATTAGGAGAAGATACTTTTCTACGATTAGAGAATTATGTATAATAGAGTATTTATGTTAAATTTTGTAGCGGAGAAGAGTTTGTAGGAATTTTATTTTAAATGTTTGGATTTAAATAATTTTAAATAACATATTTTGGATTATAATCCAAATTTGATAATTTTTTATTTAGACTTTTATATTTATTTTTATATTCAAAATAGAAAAAAATTAATACATATGCAAATAGAAATGCCTGGATTTTGGAGAAAATTTCTAGTTTACAATCTCAATTGCATAAGACTATTTTCTCAAATAAAATAAGATAAGGTTATAGGGACAAAGGTGATGACATCATGATATATTTTTAACTTAGGTTATTTTCTTTTTGTGTTAGATATGGATCTTCGTATTGATATTTAAGTTATTATTTATGAATTTGAAAACTATTTTTGTATTATCTTTATGTATTAAAATAATACAAACTATATTAGGTTAAAAATATTATATTTATTTATTTATTAAGTTTAAAAAAATGTATTAAAATTTAAATTTTATATTCAAATTTANAATTTTATATTCAAATTTAAAAGGTAGACACACACACGTGTGTGTATATATATATATATATATATATATATATATAGGATAATACATATTTATATAAAATTAAAATTAAAATTAAATTATAAATTTAACACTCTGTGAACTTGCACTAGTTGAATCATAAGGGTGACCTAACCTGGGGTTATAAAATGCTATTATTTCAATAGCCATAAAAATCACCAGTACGGTGTCGTTTTGTTGTATCCTCTTGTAAACATCACTTCTCACCCGACCCATTTCAGCGCAAACCCAAACCAACACTGACCTTTTGCTTCTCCAAATTCCTCTGAAGTTTGCGCCACTATTCTCTTAGACTGCAACACTGAATTCTTCACCTTATTATTGAAGCGGAAGTGTAGGTGTACCCTTCAATTGACACTGCACAGCTTGCCTTCATCTTTTTCTTTTCTTTGTTTTGCCCTGTCCTTTGATTGAATTGATTAGCTTTTATTGCTTATTACGCGGATAATTTATCAAAATCAAGTTTTTAACTGTTATCTCAAAAGGGTCTTTTCTTGGTGTTGTTTCAGGGTGTCCTGTTCCGTGCTTGAAAATTTTACTTTGAGCCTTTGATTGTTTCCGCAGAGACTTGTAGATTGTTCTGTGTGAATACAAAGGAAGTTTTTTTTTTCTTGTGTGTCATTGTGGATATGGCTATAGTTGAATCAGTGGGGAAAATTCCCTTGCAAGACCCACCGGAGGAGGAGTTTAGTGCTGCTGACTTGACTTGGACCAAGTTTGGCACTGCTGAACACCATGATGTCGTTGCCCTTATTCCCTATGACAGAGTTGATGCGTTTATAATTGGTGAATGTTCGAATGTGGAGTGCCCCACTCGGTTTCATATCGAGAGAGGAAGGAAACGAACTATTGGAAGCTTGAAGGAGTACAAGGATGATGAGTATCTTGAGTACAGGCTGTAAGTTTCTGCCATGCCTATAATGTATTTCAAAAATAACTATGATCGAGCTTTTAGACAGTTTCTTCCTCTTCTGGCTTATATTATACATGTTTAGCGTTTTCTAGCTTGTTCTGTTTTGATAGAACACAGGAACTTTGAAGTGTGAAGGTACTTTCCTTGTAGGAAATTTGGTCCTTGTTAGTTCCTGTTTTTTTTTTTTTTTTTTTAAATTTGTTCATAAGTTCAATAGTTTCCTTGTTGCTGTCTGAATTTTGGAAGCAGTAGCTGACTAGTAATGAACAATTTAAAATTTAAAGTGATGATCTGCCCAATTAGGATTCCTTTACTCATGTTTTGTAGTTGGACCCTGCTCTTTGTGAAGGTACTGGTGCTCGTTTGGCCCAGAGAATTATGGGGAGGGAGGAGGTATATTACCAAGTCGAAGGTATCGACTTAACACTCGAAATCGTGCTGCTAGACCTCAATCGATGCGAGGTTGTACTTGTCATTTTGTTGTCAAACGTCTTTATGCTCGTCCATCCCTTGCACTTATTATATACAATGAGAGGCGTCATATTAACAAGTCTGGTTTCATCTGCCATGGACCACTTGATAGAGATGCCATTGGTCCTGGAGCCAAAAAGATTCCTTATATAGGCAATGAAATTCAGCAGCAAACTATGTCCATGATATATCTGGGCATCCCAGAAGAGAATATCTTGGAGAAGCACATAGAAGGAATTCAACGATATTGTGGCTCAGATGCAAAAGTCAATAGCCTTGCTTCTCAGTATGTCCACAAGCTAGGGATGATTATCAAAAGGTCTACCCATGAGCTGGATCTAGATGATCAAGCTAGCATCCGCATGTGGATTGAGCGCAATAGAAAGTCTGTATTTTTTCACCAGGATACTTCGGAGTCTGACCCTTTCATCTTGGGGATCCAAACAGAATGGCAGCTGCAACAGATGATTCGCTTTGGTCATCGAAGTGTTGTTGCCGCAGACTCTACTTTTGGCGTGAAGAGACTGAAAGTAATTTTGTTTTTCCAATCATCACTAAGTTATGCTAGATATAAAGCAAAAGCAGTTTTCTTTTTCTCGTTGCTGTACATTTTCAATTGACCTTACTTAGTTATCTTTTCATATTGGCAGTATCCGTTGTTCACAATTCTTGTTTTTGATTCAAGACAACATGCACTTCCTGTTGCATGGGTCATTACACGTAGCTTTGCAAAGCCTGATGTGTCCAAGTGGCTCAAAGCTTTAATTGATCGAGCTCGCAGTGTTGAGCCTGGATGGAAAGTCAGTGGATTTTTAATTGATGATGCTGCAGCTGAAATTGATCTTTTGAGGCAAGCTTTATTGCTTTTGAAATGAGTTTGGTTTAATATTCAGCAGTGGTAATTAAGTTTCATACTTCTATTAATTGATTTTACAGAGATATATTTTGCTGTCCTGTGCTATTTTCTCTGTGGCGTGTCCGTAGATCGTGGCTTAGGAATATTGTTAAGAAATGCAGTACTATTGAGGTTCAGCGGGAGATTTTTAAGCGTCTTGGTACAATAGTGTACAGTATTTGGGGAGGCATTAATACAGCAAGTGCCTTGGAACAATTCATGTTGGATTATGTTGACCAAACTGCTTTCATGGAATACTTCAAATCCTCCTGGTTGCCCAAGCTTGGTTAGATCTTTCTCCTTTTTTCTCTTGTATGCACATAAAATATCTTGTTGAGTGATGATATATTCAAAAGTATGTTTGAAAGCCTGGCATTGTGAATGATATGTTCCTTAATATTTCACTTCAGAACTTATGGGCTAAGTCAGTAATTGATAAATTAGCTTGCTTTCCCCTTGTCCTTCTGTTCTGTTGTGCAGAAATGTGGCTTTCAACAATGAGAAATTTTCAACTAGCCAGCCAGGAAGCTTCTGGAGCATTAGAAGCGTATCATGTTAAACTGAAAGCCAAACTTTTTGATGACTCACATCTTGGAGCCCTGCAAAGAGTAGATTGGTTAGTCCACAAGTTGACAACTGAGTTGCATTCAAGCTACTGGCTTGATCGCTATGCAGATGAAAGTGACTCGTTCCAGAATGTGAAGGAAAAATATATTCTCTCTACATCATGGCATCGAGCACTTCAAATTCCAGACTATGCTGTTACCTTGGATGATAGAGACCACCTCTTTGCCAAGGTTGTGAGCCAAAAAGATATTAGCTTAACTCATCTAGTGTGGAATCCGGGATCTGAATTTGCATTCTGTGATTGTTCTTGGTCAAAGCAAGGTAACCTTTGCAAGCATGTCATCAAAGTAAACATGATTTGTGAAAATCTTAAAGGTTATCAACCTTCCATGTCTTTCCGGTCTTTTGAAGAGGTTTTGATGGATTTATGGAGAAAACCAGTGGATGATTCATTTGCATTAGATTTGTCATTGGCGTGCACCCATCAGATGCTAGATCAAATCCAAAAGCTTGTTGAACTGAACAATTCTACTGATATTGGCACTGTAGTTAACAATATGCCTCTGAAATGGGTTTCTAAGAAAAGCAGAACCTGCATTGGCAAACCATCTTCAAGTTTGGCTCTTCCTCATGGTAGCAGTAACACAAAAAGTGTTGTTGTGCATAAGAAGAATCGGAAACGGAAAAGATTGTCACGATTAAGATGACCAATTTGACCAGTACCATAGTCATTATGGTTGACCTAGATTCTAGAATGTCTGACCAATGCAAACTGGAGTTATTTCCAAATATTCTGCTAGTTTTATAATGTCTGACTTTCTAGTTCTGTTGCCTCGTGTCTCTGAAGTTGCAGCATCTGTTAGAAAGGTCAGCATACTCCACCCTGATCAGAGAACAGTTCTTGCTGTAATTATATGAACATGGTCGGTAGTTGGGGATAAAGTGGACGAAACAAAGCAATTGTGGTGTGTATGCTGTTTTCAGCTTTTATGCCTGGCAATGCTTTTAGGGGATCGCGCGGGATGAGGTAGTGGTAAATTTTACATAGAAAGTAGAATTCGTTTTCCCTTTTCAATTTCATCGACTTCTTGTCACTTTCATAGCCATGCTAATGTAATCATTTATTTTTTTTATTTTTTACGTTGTACCATCTTAAGAATTTTAGGTCTTTTCAACATCAAGTCCTCAGTCACTGTGGAGGATAGGTCATTCCATAGATCATTTCTACTCTTTTAGATTTGGCTCTGTTATTCTTTTTCATTCATTTACATGTTATGTACATATACTATTTACTGATTTGTTACTTGAAATAAATTGCAAAATATATATAAACACACGCACACACTCTAGTTAGTGAGAATTGCATACTTATATCATTTGTTATCTTTACAGGAAAGTAGTGCGATTCAATACATCCTTCAAGCGAATACCTTGCTCTACTTGTAAAATAACAATTTGTCTCATGTTATGACATGTGTAAATTCTTGTCATGTTAGTAATCATATGTTAGCTACATGTATCTAATCCATCATACACATGAAATAGTACTATTGACTAGAATTTATGCATTGGCCTAACCGTAATAAAGGTCTTGGAATTTTCTTAAAGTTCAGATTGCAATAGGATCAATAGGATAGAGGCTGCATTCACCTGTGAAAATTGAACACATTCCAACACCAATGCAGAATACCATTTACATTTATCTTCTTATGATAGCTGAAGTCCAATTGATTATTGTTGGAAGTCCCACATCGAATAGTGATAAAGTCAGTTTAGAATATATAAGTGGGTGCAAATCTCACCTTATAAACCGGTTTTGTGGGGTTGAGTTAGGCTAAAAGTCTACTTCTTAACATGGTATCAAAACTAGGTTTAGAGTCTATCATAGCGAGATTTGTTTTTTGTTAGGCATATTGTTCCACCCGCTATCGGGCTGCTGTCAGACTACCTATTAATGTCTAGTCTCACATTCGATATACCTCGGCATGAGAGGGGTGTGTTGGAAGATCTCGCATTGACTAGAGATAAAACTAATTTATAGTATATAAGTAGGTGCAAGTCTCACCTTACAAGTTGGTTTTGTGGGGTTTAATTAAACTTAAAGTCCACTTAATAATTATTATGCAGACATCCCGACTCTTTAATTCTTTTTAGTTGCCACTTTAGGTTCAAATTCTCATTGTACAAGTGATTCTCTCATTCAGCTTCATTATTGCGTTCTCATTAGCTAGTCCTATGCTTATTCTTTAGAGTGCTCTCGGGTGAGATCAGGTGAGATCAACTCAAGACTGTAATTTGTGTAATACAATCCATCTTCCATTAGTGATGTTGAAAATCAGCTTGGTTTTACATCATTAGATATCTTAGTTGATGGAAGAAGTACTTAAAGGATGTGAATAACTTCTCCCAAATTAGTTGGATGAGACTCCACCAGGGAACTAACTACCTGGTGTGGTTTCAAATGAGTTCAAGCATTGACTCATTTTTCTGTGCTTTTAAATACCATTACCTTCTTACTTATATCAGTGTTATCCATTTGTATCTTGAAGAGAAGTTGATACATAAGACGTTAAATTAGTTGTTTGATGTGATATTATTGATATCATATGTTCTTTCCACTAACCATCCAATCCAATTTGCCCGTGTTTGTATATTCCAGTAATCCATGACATGTTGAAACGTTATTGTAACTGTTGTAATAACTTAAGTCATGGTTAGTTGATAATTCACTTGATAACAAAATGGGTAAATGATTATGAAAGAGGCCAACCCCATAGTACATTTAGAATAAATGAACAATTGAAATGTTTAGTTCTCACACCTGAACTCGAAAGAAGGGGAATCTCGTGTTATGTTGCATTTGTTTTTCTCTTCCATTCTACTTCCTGGTATCATTGGTAATCATGATTCCCAGTAATATATAGAGCTAGGAAATTCATGTTGAAAAAAGGTTGACACGATTATGGATTTGAGGCACAAGTAATAGTGTATAATATAAGTTGGGAGTACAATAAATAACCAAACAAAACACACTGTTAAATGTAATTGAACTAATACCATGGAGTTCAATATAGAATAGGTTGAAATGGCTAACTGTAAATGCTTTCCATTTCTGGAGAGATGAAACTGTTTACATCTTGAGTTTCAGAGGCAGAGAGTGATATGAGTTTTCTCTTGATCTTGTCTAGTGATTCTAATGTAGTGTCAGAAGTTGTAGGACTAAGGGATACAAAGCCAGGATTTTGGCTGTTGTACACTGAGAAGATAGTGGCTTCTTCAAAACCAGTATTTAGATAGAAGTGGAACAAAGCCTTGGGGAACACAAACACATCACCTACTTTAATCAACTTTTGGAAATACTGGTTTTTGGTATCAACAAATCCAGCCAACAACACTCCTTTGGTAACAAAGATAATCTCAGTAGCTCTAGGATGATAGTGGAAGTTAACCAGGCCATTCCCATCAAGATCAGTTCTTCCAATGGAGAGGCCAAGAGTATTCAGACCACCAAACTCAGCAGCACTGACAATTTTCATCGACGCACCAAAAATGTCTGTAGAGCCGGCTGTGCTTAGTTTTGTGGTCCTGAAATCTTGAGCTGATACATTAACTGGGTTTTTGCATTGTAGACCATTGATGAATATGGTCTGCTTGTTGGGTGGAACTGCTGGACAAGAATCCTGTAGGTTATCACAGTCTCCAAAGCAGATTTTGATGTTGGAAAAGGCAACAAAAAACAACATAAAGTAAAGGTGAGCAAAGGATTTCAATTTCATCTTGAATCTCCACTTGGTTACTATTTCTTAGATATCGTTATGTTGGCTGAATAAACCATCCTCCTCATTTATACATACCTACATCTACACACAATTAAGTTCTTGATCTTGTTGTCTCTGACAGTATGTCTCTCAGGATTGCAAAAAATGCAAGTAATAATAGTCTTGAAGTATAATGTAAGAAGTGTTTGCTTGAAAACATAGGAAACACTAGCCAATTCACTGAGTCTGCACTATGTCATAATTCCAACGTTGTTTTTGAGACTTGAAGGTTGTATAATGGGTAATTCCAAATGCGGATTACCTTACCAATAATACCATTCACTGATAGCAACTGTTTGAGGAATGACACTAAGTGGCTATCAATTTAATGGTCAAACTCAAATATAGTTATCATGTCAATTTTTAGGCCATGTTTCTATTTTGAATAGGACCTATTTTAGTAAACTACAAGATTTTAAACTTTAAAGTAGGGAAATTCCTTTGTACTCACTCTTCACTATTATATTAATTAACGGAAAAGTAAAGGGAAATTAATAGTAATAAAAAGGTAGTTTCAATGGTATAAAGTGGAATGCTTTCCTATAGTGAAGACTTTTTAGTAATTGGCAACAAACTTTGGATATATTTGGAGTAAACTAAAATTTCCACTAGGCAAATACTATCATGATAATACTTTGATAAAAAAAAAATCAGTTCACCACTGTTTGCACAACTCCATTTCAGATTAAATTCATTGTCAAACCAGTGAAGAATACAGAAATAAATTTATAAATAATTATATTACAAATGCTGCAGTGAGCAATAAGGCTTCAATTGCGTGTCCACTATGTAAATTATGGTGTCTCTATTAAATTGATAATAGAACAGTTTTATCTCACCATATTTTCATGTGACTTTTCCTTTTTAAGCCAATTTAGACTATAATATCATTGATAATCAATTTATAATAAAAATATCAATAAATTTAAAGCTTCTTAATATATAAATTTAAATTTATCCTTTTCATTTGCTGTTATCCATATAATTTTCTTTAAGTAATCATTCACCAAAGATAACAGCAAAAATACGGAAGCTAGATTTTCAACAATTCTATTCAATTAAATAGTATAATTTATACAAACACGGTAAAACCCGAAGATAATAAAATAAAGTATGTAATAAAACAAAATGAATTAGTTGTGTGGATTTGTCTTAAAATTGTTGGTGGATAAATTAATTTATAGTTTTATTTATTTATTATTTTATTTATATGTAGTGTGTTTTGTATGATTTATATGTGTATTGTTGTGTGTAAATATCAATGAGAAACCTGTAGTTTAGTGGTTGAGGATAGCATTGATGATGCATGGGGTGAAGGTTTGGGTTAATTCACTTGGGTTGTTTTATTTAATATGTATGTAAGAGGAATTGGTTTTATTTGGGTTGGCATAGGGCACACGACTTTAGGAGTGTTTTACCTTGTATCACCTCACATTTCTTCCTTTTTCAATGAATTTTGAAATTTGTTGAAGAAAAAAATCCTTCAACGAATTTCAAAATTCATTATTGAAAGATTTTTCGAAAGCTTAAACGAATTTTGAAATCTATTGAACGCTTGAAAAATCCTTCAACAAATTTTAAAATTTGTTGAAGTATTTTTTCTTCAACAAATTTTAAAATTCGTTGAAGAAAAGAAGTGGGTGTAGGGTTTTTTGAAATATACGAGATAGTTTTGAAATTTTTAAAAATTATGGAGGTGTAGTGAGAAATGTGGGGTGGTGAGAAACACTCTAACTTTAGATGTGAAAGGAGAGAGAGTAGGTGTGTGCAATTTACTTGGTTGTTTTTTGGGTTAAATATGTTTTTTGTTCCCTAAGTATCACACGATTTTGGGTTTAGTCCCTACTCGAAACTTTAATTGCTTTTAGTCCTCATAGTTTTGAAACTATTACTATTAGTCCTTAAAAATTGAACGACGTTAACTTTTGTTTGATGTGGCAAACGGATAGGTCACGTCTTATGCCAGCTTCCCTCTTCACTCTCTGCCACATTGCTTTTCTTTTTATTG